AACGATGATGCTGGCCCCCAAGGGGGTGAATTGTGAGATCCCACATTGGTTAGAGAGGGGAACGAAACATTCGTTATAAAGGTGTAGAAATCTCTCCCTAGTAAATGTGTTCTAAAATCTTGAGTCTTAGAAAGGAAAGCCCATAGAGGACAATATCTGCTAGCAATGAGCTTGAGCTATTACAGATCTATTTTGTAATGTGGTTATAAAGCGATCCATTTTGGGAAATTGTGCGTTTTGTTATGTCGTTGTGGTGCATTGGTCTCGTGACACTATTTGTCTTGCTGTTGTGCATAAATTCCAGGCCGACAATCTGCGACAACAGACACTTCAACAAATGCACCGAATATTGACAACTCGTCAGTCTGCTCGTGCGCTTCTCGCCGTACATGACTACTTCTCCAGGCTACGAGCTCTTAGTTCGCTGTGGCTTGCTCGGCCCCGAGAGTAAGACGTTTGACCAAAGCAATAGTTGATGGTGACACTGCAGAGACATGAAAGGAACCCTCAAGGTAACACCTTTTTTGTATCATTCATTGGCAATGCCTTTCTTCTTGGGACTGAGATTGAGATCTGTCACAAAGAATAATTTGTTTGTAATTTTGTATTTTATGTGTTCTTGTTACATCTGTATAAATATTGATACAAACAAACTCAACTTCCATTGTTTATTGGTAAATTAATAATACTCTTTAACGACCCGCTAGCAGATATTGTCCTCTTTGGGCTTTCTCCAATCGATGTGGGACCCTATCAAACTTACTCCCTTCGAGGCCAACAACGTCCTTCGGGGAAGAGCCTCCTCGCTGGCACATGGTCCTGTGTCTGACTCTAATATCATTTGTAACGGTCCAAGCCCGTTGCTAGCAGAGATATTGTCATCTTTGAACTTTTTCTCTCGGACACATGGTTCGATAGGATGTATTGACATATGACCGCTAGTTTAAAATATTACAATTTTAGCCTTTAAATAATATATTGTCTCTTCAACAAGACAAAAATGCACCTAAACCGATGGTTATCTTATTTTTCAGGGTCGAAAAAACTTAATAACAACGGCCTGTTGCCATCTTTTATTTAAATGTTCTTTAACAACGATGTAGAATGCAGGAATAATTGATCGACCTCGTAAAATTTGAGCAAATTGAGGTCTTCCTCAAATAATTTGGGTTCTTCCGTGGCGGTTACAAATCGTTATTTCCAGAGTTTGTCTTGATTTGAATTTCAGTACAAATGTCGAGACGAACCCTGAAAAGGACGACTTGGATTTTTCCTTCCGAATTTTCCCTCAAGGTTTTAAATCGCTTCTACTAGGGAGAGATTTCTACACCCTTACAAATGATGTTTTGCTCCCCTCCTCAGAATCTAGCCGTTAATCTTACTTGACATTAAAAAAAACCTTTTTTTTTGTTTGTTTGATATCGACGAGTGTCTAGGATAGCTTGCATTCATCTCGATTAATTAACCCTACAACCATATGACCCTATTACATTTGGTTGACATGAAGCACGAAGTGTCTACAAAGAGAACGCTACGTCTGACCTTATTATACTCCATCTTCCCCTATCTCATGGTGAGATTCCCACTTAAAATTCCAGCCCGAGATCCTGAGATCCCGAGATCCCATGATCCCGAGAATACATATTGGACAATAGGGTATAAGTAGATACATTCGAATCGATTTCCAAAGAGCCGAAAACGGACCGAACCAAACCAACCTATGATTAAATTTTTCAAACCAACTAAAACTCTGTTAGTTGAACTGTTGCTACTACAAGATAACACTTCCTAAAGAAAAGAAAATTATGTTTTCAGTACAAAATGATGGGAGCGAAGTAATAGCTTTTCCGCCATTCAAATCTCTGGTTAAAAAATGACTTACTGGAGGCCAAAAAACTCCATCCACGACTCGAAAGAACACGTTCGAGCTCCCAATTTCCCGCTGTGTTGATGAGGGTGTTCCTGATGTTCCCTTCTTCATAGCTCACATCTCTTTATCAATGATATCTCGCATCATCTGAATCGGAATGAGACCTTCGGTGCGGATAGCTTCTTTTTTCGGATCCGGGCTAATGAAGAAAAGTGTAGGCAGTCCTCTCACCTGAAACAAGGCATCCAACTCAGATTTACCTTTCAAACGAACAAAGACAATATCTTTCACAACTCGATTTGCTGATAATCGATGCGTTTGTAGATCATATAGATGAGAGTGCTTCGTGTAAGAACGCTTTGTCGTATAGAGACCAAGCAAAGAGGATAGGGAGAAAGGATTGATGTGTTTTCACCTGCATATCATGTGAGAATTCATATTCGTCATCTGTATCAACCTTGATGATCATTGCATTGTTCTCGTACTCGACCGCAAGCTGTGGTAAGAGCTACACATTAGCGATTGCTTCCATGATTTCCAAAATGGAAGTTGAATAAGCATGTATTAGTTACAGCCTAATCCAACAACTCCGAATGTTAATCTATGTTCGAAGTTAATAGATAATGCTATCAGCTCAAGCAATCGTCTCGAGCATCGACACGTTCAGCAAACAACACATTTGCAAATCATCAGACATAGCAGATCCATGAGGCAATGTGAAATTTGAAAACTAGCCCACTCTGGGGAATAATGGGAAGTTTGGCAGTGATGCAAGGCCGAAGAGATTTGAAAATATAAAACTTTCATGAATGTTACAGCCCACCGCTAGCAGATATTGTATGCTTTGACCCATTACATGTCACCGTCATCCTCACGATTTTAAAACGCGTCTACTAGAGAGAGGTTTCCACACCCTTATAAAGAATGTTTTGTTCTTCTCTCCAACCGATGCGAGATCTCACAATAGAGCACTAAAAGTAAAGAAAAAACGATAGGCGTATGGACTAGGAATCTCTTCCACCCCTATATAAACTGTAGGACACAGAATAGGAGTAAATATACTAACAAAAGATAGAATTGCTAGTTTGGGATACACTGATTGAATGCAAAGAGGATCGATTTATCGAGCCACGCAGATTACTCCTACTGCAGTCAGACCACCATTACGAGACGATCACGTGCGATGCCAATGCTAGACCACCGTTACAGACCACAATATTACAGTGCCAACCATGTGTATAGCCCAAATCACCATGGTACTGCCATTACCCAAACTGACTACAGTAGCTTTATACATATATACAACTTCAATCTTTTAATCAATGTTTATCTGTACATCAGGCATGCGTTCCTCCTTACCACAATTATATAGAAGCTCATCCCAGTTGTTCCAGCTAAAAGGGAAAATGTAAACTAAACTGGAATAGCCTTTAGCCTATCTAAACATACAATATATTTGAAATAATAATCAAACAGGATTCAGAAGCTAAATCACTACTAAACCAAAATGTTTAAACTGATAGTGTGAGATCTGACACGATTGGAGAAGGGAACGAGTGCTAGCAAGGACGCTGGCCCCCAAGGGGGTGGATTGTGAGATCCCACATTGGTTGTAGAGGGGAACAAAACATTCTCTATAACGGTATGGAAACCTCTACCTAGCAGACGCGTTTTAAAAACTGAGGGAAGCCCGAAAGGGAAAACTCGAAGAGGACAATATCTACTGGCACTAATGGATTCAAATACTAGCATGGGACAGAGCAACTTATTACCAATATGAATTGAAGAGGAAATCACATAGAGAGGTTTTAACACAAGGACTCCTATCTAATAACGTGTTGCTACAAACTACAAAAACTTAAGCCAATGGATAATAACATACATTCTTTGAACGCCATATTTGAAAATGAAGCATTTAGGCATATGTACAGCAAAGAAACGCCATAATAATGTGAGTTCATATCAAATTGCTACGTACCATTTCAAGTTCTTGAGCCATTAGAATGCAGGGTCCACACCATGTGGCATAGAAATCGATTATAAGCGGTACATTTCTTTTCCCCTTCACCAGCTCCTGCACTTCCTCAGCCGTCATCTTCTTCTGCAAACCCAACACCAAAACAAGCACCTCATAAATGATTAACCGAACCAATAGCGAAAAGAAGCAAACAATTGGCAACAAACCCACAAACAAAATCAAAGAAAACACAAGTTTACCACAAGATAATCGTCGTGGATGTACTTTCCCTTGGGGGGTTTGCACAGAATCCTTCTGGGAGTGGTTGAGAGGGAGAAGGGTGTGGTGGATGATGAAAGAAGTGCATTTTGTTGATGGGTTTTGGAGGAGGAGGAGAAAGGAATTGAAATGGAAGGTCGAGTGGAGCTGAAATTAGAGATGGGGAAGAGATTGGCGGTGATTTGAAGGGTTTTGGGGGGCTGTAAAAGCGCCATTGACGATGGGGGAGAGGTTCAACTGTTGCAGTCGAGGGAAATCCTTCGTTTTCGCAATGGATATGGTTTGGTGACTGCTCCAGCCAGGTCCAATTGCCTCGAATTACGCTTCCAAGCTCCTTCTCTTATCAGCCATATCCGTTTGATTTTCGAGGGCTTTCAAAGCTTTTCATTTTTGGTCCTTTTATTTAAACACACCATTTATACGCTTAATTGAAAAGATTAAAAAAGAGAGACTTAACTTAGTCTTCATGATTAATTTTAAGTTAATTTTTATCCAAATTTGTAATATCGATTCAATTTGATAATCATTTAAGTCTTTTAAAATTGAGATTATTTTATCACTATTTTATTATCAATTTAATAAAATATTTGTATTCTTACTTAAATTCGATTTTTATTAGGTTGATTTAATTTTAATCTTTAAACTTCCAAAAAAAAAAAAATCATTTTAATTCCTCTAACTTTCCACACAAAAAAACAAAAAAAAAAAAAAAAAAACCCACATATTTATGTGTTGAGAAGATTGTTGGGAGAAAAGTCAAGGAGTAAATCATAAGTTAAGGAATATAAGGGATACATTGATTCGAGATATTTTAGGAAAACCAAAAACAAAACTACAAGAGTTTGAAAGTGAACAATATCGTACCATTGTGAAGTACCTTGATTTCAAACCTTTTGTGAATTAAAAAAAGCTGAACTATGCCAAAATGTACTATAACTGATATCGTTTATAGTGCAAAAGTTACTGTACTATCTGCAATACTCAAACATTTTACACTATTTTCACTTATCTTTTTCAGATTCAAGAGGAAAACTCAAATGAAATGCCTATCCATCCATCCATCATACCAATAAGGGTTTCATCATTCTAAAGTAATGGGAGAAGAATGACGTGGGAGTTTGGGGAGCTAAGTGAAGAACATGGATTTGGGTTAGCAATAAAAATCACTATAAAAATGGAGTGGATAAAAGATTGGTAATAGGATAAGAACAAAGAGGCAAAGGACAAGCACAAAGAAGGAAAGCAACCCAGAAATGGAATGAACCAAAACAGCAGATAGGAACAGAATCATATCCTGATAATGGTGCTTCAAAGTCTATAAATTCATTCACCATTAAATACCAACTCAACTTCAGACATAAATTCTAGGTGGAGCAGAGATTACATACCAAAGATCAGCCACAAGATCATGCGAGTCACATGAAAATTTGTTGAATTCTAGGTGGAAAGTGCAGAATTTTGATACTGTCCTATAATCTACAGATACATTTATGTTGAATTTGTACATGGAATTTGTTCAAACGAGGGAAAAAGAATTAATCCGATCACACATAAATATGGTGGAGGGTAATTAATCAATCAATCAAAGAGAGAGGGCAAGATGAGCAGAAGCCTATTCAGAACATGAATTTATCAAACGATCCAGCTGCAAATCCTCGAATACGTTACCGTCGATGTCGCCACTTGCAATTAGCTTCAACAATTCCACCGCCTTCGCTTTCCCCTTCTCACTGCCGTTCATGGCTACATCTCCAATTTCGCTCAAGATTCCAGATCCCAAATCCTTGATGTCCTCCTCCGCCCTCTCTCCTCCCCACCTCGCTAAATTCAACAACGCCGATACCGCGTTCTCCTTTGTCCTCTGACTTGAACCAGTCCCTGAATCCAACAAATCCACCAAAACTCCCAATCCGGAAACCCTACGAAATGCTAATTCGCTATCTTCACATCCCGCCACCTGCGCGACCACCGCCGACGCATCCTCAACAATCCCGGCGTGACTGCCGACCACAACCAAAGAGAATAACGGAGGAATCACTCCGAGATCGACCATAGTGGACCGATTCGGCTGATACAGCGCAATCCCAAACAACGCTTTCAGAGCATCCTTAATCGATCTCTGAGGAGATTTCCTAAATTTGAGAATATCAACAAGCGAATATATTATATCACGCTTTGAACCAATAATCGGGCGGTAATCATCCACAACGAGAAGACTATGGAGAGTCGCAGCACAGGACTGGACGGCGGCGGCAGAAGAAGAGGAATTATGATGGCCAAGCACATGAGAAATCGCGTCTAGGAGGCCATGTGTGGACATCAAAGCTTCACGGGAGGAAATTGAGAGATTAAGAAGCGTAGCAGCGGCGTCTTCTTGGGCAGCGTGAGAGGAGGAATACAGAGTCTCAGCCAAGTAAGGAATTGCACCAGTTTCAGCGATAAGCGATCGACTCTCAGCGTCGTTCTTCGTCATCAATCGGAGCTCCGACAGGGAGTCGCACCGGATTTGCTCGGAGACGGAGCTGAGACGAGAGACCAAAGTGGAAGCCGTACGGAGCTTCACCTCCATCTTCAGCAACTGCAATGGAGTCGAATCGAAACGATAATCAAGAATTTGAGTGATAAGAAATCTGGATTTGCAGAGGAATTTAGGTTCTTGTAGGAAATTTGAACGGAATTGAATTGGATAGAAGGAAGAAGAAGAAGAAAACCGAGGGTTTGGTGAGAGAACTGAAATGACGAAAATAACCTCACCGTGTAGACGCAACGTATGTGGCGGCGGAGGGGCAGTGGGGTCCATAAATTTCCAGCAGACGAAATTGTTGTTTCCAACTTGGAATCTTTTTAAAACATTGTGCGTTCAAACTTTTAAACCAATGGATTTTTCCTATTTATTTATTGTTTAATTAAAAAAAATTATTAATTAAACGTGAACTTTTAATTAGTGGAATTATTATATATTTTCATTAATTTATTATTTATATACGAGTAACATGAAATATTATCCTCTTATCTTCTTAATATTGACATATAATAATAATAAATAATTTAGTATTAAAAAAAAACACTATTTAAATATTTAAATATTAGGGATTAAAATGAAGGGTTTTGTAGGGCAACGGGGATGGAATTTTAAAATGTCAAAAAATTGGAAAAAGGATTTCAAGTGTGAACTCATCCATAGTCAAATATTCCATACTTATTTAAAGCATCTCACGAGCTCGTCGAGTAAAGGAGTGTGAGATTCCGCACTGATTGGAAAGGGAACCGAAGCATTCCTTATAAGGGTGTGCAAACCTCTCTCTCTAACATACACGTTTTAAAATCGTGGGGTTAATGACGATACATAATGGGTTCAAACAGACAATATCTGCTAGTGGTGGACTTGGGTTATTACAAGGAGTAAGGATGAGAAGTCGTAAAACGAGGAAGCCCCTAGTGGGTCAAAATAAATATTGTTAGTTTTTGCCCGTTACATATCGCTGTTAGTCTCGTGGTTTTAAAACGCGTCTATTGGTGAGACACTTTCAAACTCTTATAAGGAATTTTTTATTAATTTAAAAATATGTTTTATTATCTAATAACATTTTTTACTGTCTTAAAAGTGGACAAAAATACTTTAAATTTCATATTATAAATCAAACTTGCCAACACAAAGTTGACTAAGTCAAATTGGTTTGGTTGACTTTTTCAATTTCCAACTTGCCGACAAATACAGATTTGACCCCCCCAAAAAAGAAATATTCCACTTATCCCCATTAATTGGACTTGCCTTTTCCTTTTGGTTAAAAAAATTGTCAAAATTGCTAATAGGTCCTTGTATTTTTTTAAGTGTTGCAATTAGCCCCTTGGAAACTTTTTTTTTTTTTTTTTTTTTTTTTTTT